ATCTACCTGAAGCCTCCAGGCGCCCACAGGGCCAGCCTGGCTGCGCCCGAGCTTTGCACAACGCCCACAGAGCAGCAAGGACTGCCTAATGGGAACTGGCTGTCACCCTCACACAGTGGGCCCTGGCTGGGTCTGCCCACTGGCTGCACCCCATATATGGGAGTCCTCCTCCACTGCTGACACCCCACATCTCTTCCCTAGAGGAGAGTGCCTGCCCTGGAAGCTGGACTCCCATGGGGGCCGCCTTGGCCTGCCCTGGCCCGGTGCTCCCAGGCGGCTTCCTGCCGCTCCTGAGCCGGCAGGTCCTCACGGGAGCTCACTCCCCACACCGATCCCCTGCTACTGGAGGCGGACATGCACCACCAGCCACCCGAACCCACCTACCCACAGCAACAGCTGGGGCGCATCTGGGAGGGCATGAGTAGTACTAGGCCCATCCCAGCCCTCTCCCAGCGGGGAGCCCCTGTGGGCCCAGGCGCACACAGGCCCTTCTCCCTGTCATGGCAAGTCTTGCTGGGCTGGGCTGCCTAAGGACAGGAGGCCCCTGCCGGCTACTCAGTCCCTGGAGCACGGGGGCCTGAGAGGGGCTGCAGGGGGGCAGGGACCCCCTGCACGTACACCATCCTCCGTTGGCGTCCCAGGCCACAGGCAAGGAGCTGGATGGGAAGTGGCGCAGCCGGAACAGGTGTAATGCTGACAGTGCAGGTCGCAGCTGTACAGGTGCTGCTGTGACGCCAGCCCCCCGCCCCGCCCCGTCCCACTGCTGCTGCTCCTGTTTAGATTGACCTGGGGCCCGCACTGTGGCCAATCCTGTGCCCACAACTCTGGCTTCCCTTTTGTGTGCCAGTTCAAGCCCCGGAGGCTCCTCTTCCCGCCCAGCTCTCTGCTCCTGGGAGAGCAGTGGAGGATGGCTCGAGTCCTGAGGCTTCTGTGCCCAGTGGGAGACCCCGATGGCGCTCCAGGCTCCTGGTTTCAGATCAGCTGAGCTCTGGCTGTTGTGGTCATTTGAGGATTGAACCAGCACAGGAACACCCTTCTCTCTGTCTCTCCTTCTCTCTGTAAATCTGCCTTTCAAATAAAAATAAACAAAGCGTCGATTTTTTCATCTGCTTACTTGAAAGTCAGAGTTAAAGAAGGGGAGGGACGTTGGCCTTCCATCCATCCACTCACTGGTTCACTCTCCAAAGCGTCACCAGCGCCAGGGCTGCGCAGAAGCTGGAAGCTAGGAGCTCCAGTGGGGTCTCGCACGAGGGCGTGGTGGCCAGAGCACATGGGTGGGCACGCCCGGCTTTCCCAGGCACGTTGGCAGAGCTGGACGGGCAGCAAGATTTCTCAGACTCCTGATGTCCCTGTCCACTCCTGCCCCACACACCCGTGTTGTCAGACAGAGGTAGGCAGTGGGACAGGGGGCATACACGCCTGTGGATACACCCCTGCCTGGGCTGGCCGGCTCTACCTGGCCTCTGGAATGGACATGCTGCTGGCCATTCCAGCAATCTCCAGCTACCTTCTGGGGATGGGAACTGGCCGAGACTCCTGCACAGTGTGCTAACTGGCTTCTCCGGGCGGAAGACTGTCTCCAGAGTCAGTCAGGTACACCCGCAGCTTCTCCAGAGTCCCTCCAAGGCAAACGCCCTGCAGTGGGGCAAGCCGACCGTGTGCGTGACAGAGGGGATGCGTAGGGCAAGGGACAGTCCCTGGGGCCAGGGGACCCACAGCCAAGCTCAGACTTCTCTCTGGACTCACCTGCGCTCACCTGCATGGGACTGCCTTCCCGGCTGTCCAGGACAGAGCACCCAGCAGCCAGGCCATGGGCAGGTCATCAGGCCTGTGTGGGTGTGTGTCTCCTCTGTCCAGGGCAGGCTGGGCCCATGCAGCTGGAAGCCCCAAGGTGCCACTGCCCACTTGGGCTGCACTGTCCTGCCTCAGGTGAGCACATCCAGGGCCCCTCTCCCAAGCCTCTGCGCGGACTGCCTACCCACTAAGCCACTTGGCTGGACAGTCCCTTGTGGGGACCCCTGTCCTCTGAGAATAGCCCAGGCACAGAATGATCCTTGCAGCATCCCACTGGGACATAGTGATGTGTAACAGCTCCTAGGCCTGGACACCGTGGTGTGGGATGTGACACAAGTCGTCACAAGTCACAGGGACCAAGCTCCTGGACACCGGCCTGTGGGTGATGCTCAGTGGGTATGGAGCTGGCTCCGTGACCAGGAGTCTCCACTCCCCCAGGGGGGCCTGGCTGGCAATGGCCGTGGGGTCCCAGAGTGCGGGAGAGTGCTGTGGCACTGTCCACTGCGGGACGGGCTGTGCTCTGCCCAAGGCTGGCCAGGGTATGGCAGCTGGGACTTCACCTGGCGGGCTGCTGTGTAGGGTCCCCACGTGTGGCCATTTCAACATGGTCCATGCTGCTTGCAGTGTTGTGTAGCACACTGGGCAACTATGGGGTGACCCCACTGTGTGAGGATCCTATGTGTGGAACCCAGATGGGGTGTGGGAGAGACCCTGTGTATGGAGCCCCATGTATGGGAACCCTGATGGCATGTGTGATGGTGTATGGGACCCTGATGGTGTGTGTGGGGACCCTGATGGCGTGTGTGGGGACCCTGATGATGTTTGGGGACCCTGATGGTGTGTGGGACCCTGATGGTGTGTGGGGACCCTGATGGTGTGTATGGGGACCCTGATGGTGTGTGTGGGGACCCTGATGGTGTGTGTGGGGACCCTGATGGTGTGTATGGGGACCCTGATGGTGTGTGTGGGGACCCTGATGGTGTGTATGGGGACCCTGATGGTGTGTGTGGGGACCCTGATGGTGTGTGTGGGGACCCTGATGATGTTTGGGGACCCTGATGGTGTGTGGGACCCTGATGGCATATATGGGACCCTGATGGCATGCATGGGACCCTGAAGGTACATGGGACCCTGATGGTGTTTGGGGACCCTGATGGTGTGTGGGGACTCTGATGTGTGTGGGGACCCTGATGATGTGTGGGGACCCTGATGGTGTGTGGGGACCCTGATGGTGTGTGGGGTCCCTGATGGTGTGTGTGGGGACCCTGATGGCATGTATGGGACCCTGATGGTGTGTGTGGGGACCCTGATGGTGTGTGTGGGGACCCTGATGGTGTGTATGGGGACCCTGATGGTGTGTGTGGGGACCCTGATGGTGTGTGTGGGGACCCTGATGATGTTTGGGGACCCTGATGGTGTGTGGGGACCCTGATGGTGTGTGTGGGGACCCTGATGATGTGTGGGGACCCTGATGGTGTGTGGGGACCCTGATGGTGTGTGGGGACCCTGATGGTGTGTGGGGACCCTGATGATGTGTGGGGACCCTGATGGTGTGTGGGGACCCTGATGGTGTGTGGGGACCCTGATGGTGTGTGGGGACCCTGATGGTGTGTGGGGACCCTGATGGTGTGTGGGGACCCTGATGATGTGTGGGGACCCTGATGGTGTGTGGGGACCCTGATGGTGTGTGGGGACCCTGATGATGTGTGGGGTCCCTGATGGTGTGTGTGGGGACCCTGATGGCATGTATGGGACCCTGATGGTGTGTGTGGGGACCCTGATGGTGTGTGTGGGGACCCTGATGGTGTGTGTGGGGACCCTGATGGCATGCATGGGAGCCTGATGGTGTGTGTGGGAACCTGATGGTGTGTGTGGAGATCTCAGGTATGTGGGTGAGTCCCCGTGTGTGGGATCCGTGTTGTGTGTGGGTGTCCCCGTCATGTGGGACCTGTGGCCTGGCTGGCCCTGTATCCGGAGGGGACTGGGGGCGGGGGCGGGGGGGAGTGTGTCAGGCGACCCCGTCGGGCGTGGGCTGCAGCGGGCACCCGGCAGTGTCCGCGCTCGGCGTCAGGCTGCGGTTGTGGCGGGGCCCTGTGGGTTCGGCTGGGGTCCGGGGGAGGCGGCGGCGGCGGCGATCGGGACGCCTTCTCAGCCGCGCAGGAAGCGGCCTCGGCCGGAAGGGGGGCCCCGGGCGCCGCCGCCGCCGCCGCCTCCTCCTCCGCCAGCGGCCCGGGGTGGGCGGGCCGAGCGGGCCCGAGCGGAGCCGAGCGGCGGCGGACGGAGCCGAGCGGCGCCGAGCGGCGGCGGGCGGGCCCGAGCGGCGCCGAGCGGCGCACACGCGGGCGGGGGCGCGCGCGTTCCTGGAAGAGCCCGGCGGGGAGCGGGTCACATTCTTGGCCGGCGCTCGGGCTGAGGCGGACGCACGGCCACAAACAGCGCGCGGGGCGGGGCGGCGCGGGGCGGGGCGGCGCGGCGGCGGCGTGAGCTCAGCGCCGGGCGCTCAGTCCGAGCCGGAGCGAGCCGCCGGGAGGATGTGCGCCGAGCGCCCCGGGCCCCGCGCCGCCGCCGCCGCCGCCGCCGCCGCCGCGCTCTGAGGCCGCGGGCACAGGCGCCTCGGCCGCCCCGAAGCCGCGGGCGCGGAGCCGGCGGGCGGGCGGGCGGGCCGGGGGCCGGCGGCGGGCGAGACGCGGCCGGCCAGCGCCGCCGGGACGAGCCGGGCGGGCGCCGCGCGGTGGGAGGAGCGGGGCGGCGGCGGCGCGCCGCGCGAGGACGGCCCGGCGGGCCCCGCGCCCGCGCCCCCGCTCCTCCCGGGCCCCTCGGCCTCGGCCGCCGCGGCGATTCGCGCCTCGCGGCGCCGGCACCTGCCCGCGCGCCCCCCGCGAGCCCCGGGCCCGCGAGCGTTGGCGTTGGCGTTGGCGGCGCGCGCCGGGGCATGCCCCGCGCCTAGAGCCCGGGGGGCGCGCGGGGGGCGCGCGGGGGGCCCGGGCGGCGGGCGCGGCGCGGGGCGCGTGGATGTGGCGCCGGGCCCGGGCGGAGGCGGCGGCGGCGGCGGCGGCGGGCTCCAGCGGCGGGACCCCTTCGCCCCGCCCGCCTTCCCCTTCGCGCCCCCGGGCGAGGCCGCGGCCGTGATCGGCCGGGAGCCGGCGGCGGCGGGGGGCGGCGGCCGGGGTCGGGGCCGCGGGCGCCGCCGGGGCTCGCGGGGCGGCGGGGGGCGAGGGGGCTCGGGCGCGCGGGAGCGGGAGCCGCCCGGGGAGCCCGAGCGCACCATGGAGGCGGCGGCGGGCGGCCGCGGCGGCTTCCAGCCGCACCCGGGGCTGCAGAAGACGCTGGAGCAGTTCCACCTGAGCTCCATGAGCTCCCTGGGCGGCCCGGCCGCCTTCTCGGCGCGCTGGGCGCAGGAGGCCTACAGGAAGGAGAGCGCCAAGGAGGCGGCCGCGGCGCCGGCGCCGCTGCCCGCGGCCGCCGAGCCGCCGCCCGTGCTGCACCTGCCCGCCATCCAGCCGCCGCCGCCCGTGCTGCCCGGGCCCTTCTTCATGCCGTCCGACCGCTCCACCGAGCGCTGCGAGACGGTGCTGGAGGGCGAGACCATCTCGTGCTTTGTGGTGGGCGGCGAGAAGCGCCTGTGCCTGCCGCAGATCCTCAACTCGGTGCTGCGCCACTTCTCGCTGCAGCAGATCAACTCGGTGTGCGACGAGCTGCACATCTACTGCTCGCGCTGCACGGCCGACCAGCTGGAGATCCTCAAAGTCATGGGCATCCTGCCCTTCTCGGCGCCCTCGTGCGGGCTCATCACCAAGACCGACGCCGAGCGCCTGTGCAACGCGCTGCTCTACGGCGGCGCCTACCCGCCGCCCTGCAAGAAGGAGCTGGCGGCCGGCCTGGCGCTGGGCCTGGAGCGCAGCGAGCGCAGCGTGCGCGTGTACCACGAGTGCTTCGGCAAGTGCAAGGGGCTGCTGCTGCCCGAGCTCTACAGCAGCCCCAGCGCCGCCTGCATCCAGTGCCTCGACTGCCGCCTCATGTACCCGCCGCACAAGTTCGTGGTGCACTCGCACAAGGCCCTGGAGAACCGGACCTGCCACTGGGGCTTCGACTCGGCCAACTGGCGGGCCTACATCCTGCTGAGCCAGGACTACACGGGCAAGGAGGAGCAGGCCCGGCTCGGCCGCTGCCTCGACGACGTCAAGGAGAAGTTCGACTACGGCAACAAGTACAAGCGGCGGGTGCCTCGGGTGAGTGGGCCGTCGGCGAGGGGGGTGGGTCGGGGAGGAGGAGGCCGGCCTTCCGGACACCGCCCCCCAGCAGCCCGAGGCCCCCCCAGCAGCCCGAGGTCCCCCCAGCAGCCCGAGGCCCCCCCAGCAGCCCGAGGTCCCCCCAGAGCAGCCCGAGGCCCCCCCAGCAGCCCGAGGTCCCCCCAGAGCAGCCCGAGGCCCCCCCAGCAGCCCGAGGCCCCCCAGAGCAGCCCGAGGTGACAAAGCCGTCGGGGAGGCCGTCGGGGAGGCCGTCGGGGAGGCCGTCGGGGAGGCCGTCGGGGAGGCCGGTGCTGCCCAGGGCTGCTGGCTAGGGGCCCCGCGGGCAGCCTGCTGGGCCCGGCTCCTTGTTGGCCCGCATGTGGGCAGCTAGGTGCCTGACGCCGCTGTGGCGTGTCCGGGGAGGGAGTCCCGCTCTGGCTGAGATTTGTTTTTGGACTCCCCTCGCCCTGGGGTGCAGGCTGGGTGCAGGGCTGCTGGCCACGCCGGCCAAGGTCGCCTCCCTACCCCCAGCTTGTTGGGGGGGACTGGGGTCCTCCTCCCCCCGGTCTCCAGCCCCAGCGTTTGTAACTTTTCAATATCCAGGCTTATTAAATTGCACGCCCAGAATGCTGCGTTGGTTCAGCTATTCTGGGGAGGCCTAATTAATTCAGCTATTGCATCAAACTTTTTTTTCTGAATCTGTGAATAGATGCTTCAGCCCGGCTTTCTCTGGGCGCCCCTCCAGCAGTGTCAGAGCTGCGGGGAGGAGGGGCTGCGGGACGAGGGACTGTGGGCCCTGCTGGGGGCAGGGTGGGCCTGGGGCTGTGCGGTGCCCTGAGTGGCAGGCTCTCGTCGGTGGGTGGGCTGAGCACCCCTTGCGTGTGGGGGAGGGGTGCCTTCCATGGGGGCTGGGTGTCTACACCCTTCCCAGCCACGTGGGGCCGAGCAGGGCGGGTCTGTGTCTGGCTGTCTGGCTGTGGTCTGTCCCTGGGCTGTTGTGCGGGGGCCTTAGCCACGGTGCAGCCGGCTGCTCGCTGCAGCCAGCCCCGGGTCTCCAGGTGGGGGTCTCTGGCCCAGGAGGCAGGCCTTTGGGCATCTCGGGCTGGCTTGTGACTGCCCGCAGCTTCTCCCCTCTCGTGTGCACTGTGTAGGCATCCTTGCTGATCCGAGGGAACCCCCCACCCAGGAGGGCTGCCAGCCTGGGTGCCAGCCCGTCTCAGGCTCTTGGGGGCTCTTGGGCGTTCCGTGAGTGAGTCTCTGCAGGACAGCCATGTGCCTGCCTGCCTGTGCGTGCCAGGGATGCCTTGTGCATGGGCCCCAGCCCTCAGCTGCCCACGCCCCCTTGTCCTGGAGGAGTGGCCTGGGGAGGCCCTGCCGCCCACTGGCTCCTCCCACTCACCTCCTGACAGTTCTCTGCATGGGCATGGTGATTTCTTGGTTTCTTTGTGGCTTGTTTTCCCACGTGGGGGTTCTGGGCCTCTTGGCAGGGCAGCAGGCCTTGGGCTCAGCCAGATGGGGGTCAGGCATGTGGGATGTGGCCGATCAGTCCCCTGAGACCCTGCTGAGCTGGGGGCCAGCTGTGCTGGGTGCTGGTACCTGTGCTCGCCCCCCAGTGGGACAGCCGGTGTGTGCAGAGTGACTGTCGGGTGGGCCGGGTGAAGGGGCTGGTGGTCCTCAGAGTTGCCCAGCAGTGTCGCGGGAGAGAGGCGGGTCACTACTCCCTGAGTGGTGCCGGGCTGGGAGCCAGTCTGCGTGGCTTCAGGCTCTGAGGGTGTTGACATGGGGGGCTGAGATGGTGTCCCACGTCTGTCTGGAAGTGCCTGACAGCGCCACCTGCTCTCGGCCCAGCTGCTGTCCCTGGGAGCCCCGTGCCTCCCCGTGCTGCAGTGGGCACCTTTGCTGGAAAGGTTCCTGGCTGGCAGTCATGGGGTGATGCCGGTGGCGGGGGGGCCACATGCTCGGGCTGCGGATGGCCCTGTTCCCGGTGCAACTTGTGAGCTGTGTGTGTGGGAGGGTCTGGGGAGGCCTGGGGGTTCAGGAGTGTGCACTCCGGACGCTGCCGTGTGCACCTTGAGGAGAGAGCCCGGCTGGGACCCAGGCCCCTTCTTGGCGGTCCTACCCGCTCCCCTGGAGGGCTTGCTGTAGTGCTGCACCCTGGGCTGTTCTGCTCGGCTCCCTGCTCTAGGAGAGGCCCGGCTGCTGGGCAGGAGTGCTGCAGGGGACAGGAGCTTGGGAAGGTGGTCTCAGCTGCCCGAGTCCTGGCGTTGTCCTGGTGTCCCTGCTGCAGGGGGCAGAGCCCCCTCAAGGGCTTGTGTCAGGGAGCCCCGAGAGCACCCGCAGCCCCACAGCAGGGAGCACCCTCCTCCCCTGCGGCCAGTGCGGCTGCTGTGTCTGCAGCATGGCCAGCAGGGCAGACAGGAAGTGGAGCAGGAGGAAGTCTGGGTGAACTGTGAAGTGCGCCCCGCCCCAGGCGGCGTGGGGCAGCCCTGGCGCAGGTCTGGGAGAGCCGCCCGGCCGGCAGGGCCTCGGGGAGGAGGCGGTGGTTCCGGGGCCCGCGCCCCGGCAGTCTGGCAGGCGGTGTCCAGGCGGTGGCCTCTGTGGCAACACTGCGTCTCTTTCGAAGGATTGCGAAAGCTAAGAGGACTTCTCTCCTGTGGGAGAGTTATGCAAGGCTCAACAGAAATGCTTGAAAAGTTGCTTTGTTTTGAGTCAACACACTGGGAGGCTGCTGATCTGTGACCAGAGGGGGAAGTGTTGGTCTCCCACCCCCTGAGCCTGGGAGGGGCGTCCTGGAGGAGCGGGCAGGGGCCAAGCAGCCCGATGCTCCGCTCTGCCTGGAGGAGCCCGGCCAGGACCCCCCTCTCTGCACGCCTCCCTGACTTTGCAGTCAAGGCAGGAATTGCTGCCCATTGGGGTCACCCCACGTCACTTCTGCCCTCTGAAAGCACCTAGCTGGCCCCCAGGGGAGGAGCGGGGGCAGCTGCCTGGCGGGGCCCCTGCAGCCTGTGACAGTGGCCAGTGCTGAGCTGGGAGGGACCCGCGCAGGGGCTGCCGAGGGGCTCAGACCACCAGGACTGGTGACGACAGGCCGTGGGGCTCTTCGGGAGGGGCGGTGGCCGTTCCTTGGTGCCTTCTGTCCTGCCCGGCCCTGAAGACAGTGGTTCTCACAGACCGTGTGGGGACACTTCTCGGAAAGCCCTGGAATGTTCCCCTTGGCTGCCACAGCTGCTGCGCTTCCCAGCCCTTAGCCCGGCTGTGGCAGCCACTGCTTGGGCTGCTTCTCCGAACGTGGCTGGAGCCTGGAAGAGCCCAGTGTTGTTGGCACCTGGCTTCCTGCTGCTCCCACGAGCTGCCCGTTTTGGAGAATTGTGGCGCCGGGCCGGCCTTGCTGGCAGGCCTGACAGGGTTAGCCGCTGGGCCTAGGGGTAGAGCTGCTGGGGCTGCGTGCCTGGGGCCCAGGGAGGTGAGCCAGGCTGCTGGCTGCCCGCGTGGCTGATCTGAGGGCTCAGGGTGCTGCTTGGGCTCTGGGTGCGAGCTCAGGGTGCTGGTACCCCAGCCGGACCCTGGGGTGGGCTGGTCAGAGCTGGAGGCGTGTCGGGATAGCTGGGCAGGGGGCACCTTCTTCCCGCCTGTGCCACAGTTTGCCTGCAGCCGCCTGGGGCCAGCCGCTGTCCGCTGTGGGCTCTGTGCAGGGGCTCCTGGGCGGGCGCCTCAGCGATCCCTCCTGTCCTTGGCTGGGGGGCTGCAGATGGTGGGAGTGAGCTGTGACTGGCCCCCCACCCAGATTGAGTGGGGGTCGCCCTGCCCTGATGGTGGGCCCAGCTGCTGGAGGCGGCTTTCCCTGTGTGCTCAATGACAAGGCAGCAAGCTCCAGGTTGGCCTGTGCTGCACCCCGAGAGCGGGGCCCCTGAGCACGGGTGCTCTCCCTGAGGGTCAGAGGTGACTGTCTGGGACTGCAGTGGACGTCCTCTGCTACGGCCAGTCGGCGGTGCCCCGTGCGGGGGTGTCCTGGAAGACGTGGAGGGGAGTCAGGAGAGCCCGGCCTCGTGCTCCGCCCTTGTCAGGAGGCCTGTGCACATTGTGGTCGGCCCCGTCCTTCCAGGCCTGTCCTGCCCTCAGGTCCCCGAGGACACTGGCACGGTGCCGCTCGCAGCCTTGGGCTGTCCCGCCCGGAAGTGGAGACCAGGACTTGGGCCTGTTTGTGGAAGAGGGGCGGGGGCTGGACTCTGACCCCGGCTTCAGGGGGCGGAGCAGCAGCAGGTGGTCAGGGCGGGGCGTCCGAGCAGAGGGCCCTGTGCTTGTTGCGGCCTTGGCCCTGCCCTCCCTGGGCACTGGCAGGAGGGCCCTCCCCGTGGTGTCGTGGGCACCTGGTACTGTGGTGCCACTGGCCATGCAGCCACCGTCTCCTCCCCGCGTCACAACCCTGCTGCCCAAACCATTAAAAAATTATACTCCCAAGTTGAATGATATGCAAATGTAGTCAATTAGGCGAGGGGATTTTAATTAGCAGTTTAAGTTCATGTGTGAAGTGCCTTGCCTTAATTACTTGACAGTTTTGTTGTAAATTTGCTAAGTTTTTTTTTTTTTTTGCAGAACTATCAAAACTGTGATTTTTTTTTTAACATTCTTGTATGTGGTGAGTGTCGCCCGCTGTGCCTGACCCTGCGGCTCTGACTCCGCGAGCGCCTGGTCCCCAGGAGGTGTGGCCGGGGCTCCCCAGGCAGGGCGTCAGGGCAGCTAATGGCAGGTCTGGGGGCGCCTGGGGACTCTGCCGGGCCCGGTGGGACGGGGCTGGCTGGTTGGGAATGTGGTGGCCGCTCTGGTTTCCAGTTGGTTCTGGCTTACCAGGGTGTGTGGTAGGGGGCCCCTACCACATTCAGTGAAGTGATGGGCTCTGGGTTTGCAGTGTGGATGACTTGTGCTCTTTCTTTAAAGATTTATTTATTTTTTTTTATTGGAAAGGCAGATATACAGAAAGACAGATCTTCCGTCCGATGCTT